CCCTGCCAGCCCTGACCACAGTGAGGAGGGACAGCAGGGTGGCAAGGGGGGTGTGCCCTGCCCTGCGCTTCCCGGGGAGGGGACAGGGATTCCCAGCCAGGTGACACCGGAGCGAGCCAGGGCACACCTGGTGTGACTGAGCCGAGCTGTCCCCAGGCCAGACAGGGCCCGGGCTGGCCGGAAATCCCAGCTTGGGGACACCTGGGGGGGCTGCAGGAGCAGCCGGCAGAGTCTTCTCCTGAGCAGGGACTGGCATTCCCTGGGGGAGCAAGGAGACCTGGGGGACAGAGGACACTCAGCCCGTGTCCCCCCGCCCGTCACCACCCCCAGGGCTGCGTGACCCCAGGATGTCCCCAGAGCTACGGAGCAGGCAGGTAAGAGAAAGGCAAAGCCCTTCAGGCTTGGGGGAGAGTGGGGAAGGAGCAGGGAGGTCTGAATGGGAGCCCAGGTGGGCAAGAATGCCACGGGCAGCAGGACCAGTGCCCACCCCGGGCTGCCCAAATCCCGAGACAAAGCCCCACCTGTTGGAGTTGTACACACGGATGGAATCGTCCAGAAGAGCCACAGCAAATTTGTTGGTGTGGGGGTGCCAGGCGAAGGCCCGGACGGTGCAGCCGGCCCTGGAGGGGGACAGGGCAGGGTAAGACCCCCAGCAGCCCTTGGGCTGGCAAGGACCCTTCTCAGAGTCCCCAGAGAAATAAAACTCCCTTTGTGCTGCTCAATGGGACCATTTCCTTTGAGAAATTCCCTGTTTGGGAATTATTCACAGGGCTCTGCTGAGGGGCTGGTGACCACAGCCTGGGGTCGAAATTGGAAGGAATTTTCCATGCTCTGATCTCCTTTAACCCTGATCTCTCTCCGACCAGGGCACACAAACCAGACTGGCCAGAGCGAGTGGGGAAAATATTTGCCTTTAATGGCTGAGCCCACCCAAACGGGGCCATCCTGTCCTTGTACCCGAGGGGGTCCCAGACCCCGGCACGGTGATTTTGGCACACCCAGGACTCACCAGTCCACGGCCTGGGAGAAGGCTGCGATCATGTCCTCACTGGTCAGCTGCAGGAGGAGAACACTGGGCTGGCAGACAGGACCCCCAGGGCCCTTTTCCCCTCACTCCCACCTGGATTTGGGGCACCCTTGGAGCACTTTGCTGCCCCAACCCAGGGTCCATTTTCCGCCAGTGGAGGAAGGAGCAGTGTCTGGAGCTGGGCATCACCAGGAGGAGCATTTTGGGGGGATTTTAGTGGGAGAGGGACCACCCTCCACCCCAGATCGCTGCTCCCCTTGCCCCTGCCTCCCGCATAGCAGGGCTCAGGCAGGAATGACTCACGGAGAGGTGCGGGAACAGGGATCCGTGCAGCGAGGACAGCCAGCGGCACATGGCCAGAGCGTGGCTCGAGCCTGTCCGCAGCCACCGCAGCCCTGGCAAAGGGCAAAGGACCCTCAGCGTCCCTGCCGGCACCACAGGGGACACGGGCAGGGACGGCAGGGCACAGCCAGAGCATCCCAGGAGAGCTCCGGGCAGCCCAAACTCACCCTCGTCCTCGGCGCTGGCGAGCTCCCTGAGCAGCCCACAGAGGCCGGCGTCGCGCCTGCGGCGAGAGCGCGGTCAGAGCCCGGTGCCCCCGCCCGTTCTGGGGCAGCTCTGGGGACAGCGGGGCCTCACCAGGCGCTGAGGCAGCGCTTCCAGAGCGACTCGCGGTGGTGGATGAAGGGCGGGCGGGCGCTGGGCTCCAGGCGGCCGTGAGCCTTGAGCGGCTCCTTGGGCAGGCTCAGCACGGGCAGCTCGGGCACCTGCAGCACCCACAGCCCCCCTGAGCCCGGCGGGCAAAGGGACCCCCAGGGCAGGGGGCAAACGGCGACGGGAAGAGAGGAGGGGCACAAGGAGGGACGAAGGAACAGCCTGAGGGTGGCTGGAGGAGGAGAGACCCCAGCACAGGGGACAGAGTTCCAGCCACAGCTGAGGGGGACAAATGTGGCACCTCCAAGACTGGAGGGGGCTGGCATGGCTCCGGGAGCAAGGGGGTCTCACCTGGCCGGGGGTCTCACCTGGTCGGGGGTCTCACCTGGCTCTGGGAGGGGCAGGAGGGGCTCGCCCGGCCCCAGGGTCTCACCTGGCTTTGGAAGGCCAGCGGGAGCTGCTCGCTGAGGCGGCCACAGACCAGGGCGTTGTTGAGCTCGTACAGGGTGACATCGCCAGGGGGAGGCGGCGGCGGGAACAGCCCCAGGGAGCACATGGCGGCGCCGAGCCCTGGGGGCGAGCCCGGCGGGTGGGGGCCGACAGCTGAAACCTCCGATGCCCTCGGCACGCGCCGGCTCCAGGCCGGCGATCCCTCCGCCCTTCACCCGCTCACAACCCCCGGCTCCCCCTCACCCGCCCTCAGCCCCCGGCGCCGCCATCTTGGCCCCCTCACCCCTTCCCGCTCCCGGTTCGCGCCAATCGCCGCCGCGCGCCGCCCTCGCGGCCGGGGCCGCGCGTGAGGGGGAATTAAAAGGGGCGCGGCGCGCGGGGCAAACACGCGGAGTCCTCACTCGGGAACAACGCCACGCTCCCCGATTTTCCTCCGCGGAGGTAGGAGAGTATCAGCGTCCCCTGCACAGACGCGTTCTGCCGGTGATTTAGTGACTCTCCGGTTGTAACGGGGACTGATTACGATGAGGGCCACTCTTACAGTCGTTGCCCCTTTACGAGAGGCGGAGCCTCCCCGGAGGGGCGGGTCACGGGGCGGGTCACTTGGTGTCCGAGCAGGGCTGCGCTGGGACCGGGACCGGGACCGGGACCCCGGGGATACTCCCGGGATATCCCCGGGACACCCCCATGTCACCCCCGTGTCACCCCCGTGTCCCGCGCCCCTGTGTCCTGCGGGTACCCCGGGACCCGCAGCCCCTCGTGGGCTCCCGGGCCATCCCGGGCCATCCCGGTGTCCCGCGCTCCCGTGTCCCCGGTGCCACCTCTCCCTCTGTCCCCTGTCGCCCGTGGGGTGCCCGTGTCCCCTGGGTGCCGCTCCCGCCGTGTGCCCCCGCTGGCTCGCTCCCAGCCCCTCTCCCGGGGCTCCCGCTTCTCTTGTGTTTATCTCCGTGTTTTCCTTAGCGGCCGCAAGAGTTATTTTAATTTTCTCAGGATATTAAATAAAGGCGGCGGGGGGAGCTGCGGCGGGGGGCCCCACATTCCTCGCCCGTTACGGAGCGAGCGGGGTTCGATAGGAGACGACGATTTGGGATGGCGCCGACATCAGAGCCACCGCAGGGCTGGCGTGGCCTCGTGGCGTCCCTCGGACCCCCCCAAACCCGGCCCTGATGGGGCAGCGAGACAGGAAAAAAGCCGGTGGTGGCGGACGGGGGGGTCCCTGCTGGGGTTTGGGGGGCTCGCTGGATGGGGTTGGGTTCTGTGGTTTGGGAGGCTCCGGGCGGTCGAGCCCTCGGTGGCCGCCGGGCCGGGGTTTGGCTCGGGGACGTGGCTCGTTGCCCTGCTTGGCACTGGCCCACCCACGGTGAGCGGCAGCAGTGCTGGCGTTCTTCGGGGGGGAACCCCCAAAATGGCAAATTTGTGTAGGGGAGGGTATGGCTGGCTTGGGGGGGGCTACGTGGAGAGGTGGCATGCCACTCTAAATCCCCCGGGAGCCGCTCTGGGGACAGCTCGGTCACGCTCTGGGTGGGGGCACTGAGCCCAGCCGCTCCACTGATGCCTCTGTGCCTCAGTTTCCCCACGCTGTGTCCCCCCTTTCCCTGGGCACAGCTGGGTCGTGGCCAGCTCGTGGCCACCGTGACTCACTCGAGGCTGACACGGGGACCTGCTGCCATCCCTGTCCCTGTCCCCCCAGGGCCATGGGTGCCAGCAACTGCCCCCCCCCCCCGCTTTGTGCTGGCATAGGAGCTCGTTTCCGCCTCTTTTTGCCTTTTTCCGTGGTTTTTTGGGTTTTTTTTTCAGGAAAAGCCCCAAACCAGGGCTGAGAGCATCAAAGGGCTGGCGGGAGCCCAGGGCAGGGGGAGGGGGAGCTCGGGGGGAGCGCAGCGGGGTCCCCGCCAGCCCACAGCGCCCAAAATTGGGGTGTCCTCGGGGACACGTGGCCCCAGCGCGTGCCCAGCCGTGCCACGTGGGCCCTGGGATGTGGCCAGGGGGAAACTGAGGCACGGGGCTGTGCTCACGTGTGTTCCCCTGCACACGTGCCTGGGATGTCCCTGGGAGTGGGGACACGGCTGTTGGGGACATGTGGGACCCTGCACGAGCAGGGTGAGACTGGCAGGGGACAAGTCGTGTCAGGCTTTGGCTGTCCCCGAGGTTGGGGACATGAGGAGGGACATGGGGGACAGGGTCTTGGGGACACAGGGCCATGGGGACAGGGAGACGTGGGGCCCTACAGGGTCCTGGGGAAGGGGAGAGGCGCACAGGGGACCACAGGGATATGGCAGCCCAGGGGTTGAGGACAAGGGGACAGCCCAGCTTGTTCCCAACCCCGCTCAGCTCCTGCCGCCCCCAGAGAGGGGGGACACAGTGACCCTGAGCAGGGCCATGTCGCCCCCCGTGCCTCAGTTTCCCTTGGAGCCCTGCAGGGAGGGGGATCTGAACCCATCCCTGTGATAAAGCCTCAGCCGCAGAAGGGAGGCGCGGCTCCACTCTCAATCCTTTTATTGCTTTTTCTTTCTAGGGGGCAGGAGGGGCAGGCAGCTAAAAAAAGAGGAGGGAACACGTTACATTAGCACTGATGAACCAGGCCGGGGGAGGGGGGCAAACCCTGTCCCTGAGTGCGGGGGGAGAGGCGAGGGTTGGGGGCCAAGAAGGTTGGGGGGGGGGGGGGAAGGGAAAACAGAAAAGGGGGGGGGGTCTCACCTTGACACCCCCCTGTGAGCCCCAGAGCGCTCAGAGAGCCCCCCCATAATTTAAGACATAAATTAGAAAGGCTAACGAGGAGCTGGGGAATTAGGAGAGGAGGGGGGCAGCACCCCGTAATAAATATCCCCAGCGGCGCGGAGGAGGAGGAGGAGGAGGAAGGCTGAAAGGCTCAAATCTCCAACAAACTCCCGGCTTCGGGACTGCCGCCGTCCTTGCCGGGCGAGGCGGGCGGCGGCCGGGGGGACGCGGGGGGCTGCTCGGCGCCGGGGGGCGGCTTGGGGGGGCCGGGGTCGGCGTGGGTCTTCTGGTGCTTGCTGAGGTGGTCGCTGCGGGTGAAGCGCTTGCTGCACAGCAGGCAGGTGAACTTCTTCTCGCGCGTGTGGGTCCGGACGTGGCGCTCCAGCTCGTCGGAGCGGGTGAAGCGCTTCCCGCAGAAGAGCCAGTTGCACACGAAGGGTCTCTCCCCCGTGTGCCAGCGCAGGTGCGCCTTCAGGTGCGAGGCTTTGCCGTACACCTTCCCGCAGCCCGGGATGTGGCAGCTGTGCACCGGCTTCCGCCGCGACCCCCCCGGGCCCCCGAGCCGCTCCAGCTCCTGGCAGTTGGGACAATCGCAGGCCGGGCGTCCCCCCAAGGAGCCGCCGCGGGGACCCTTCGGGGTCTCGCCCGGCGTGGGTTTAGGGGTGGGGGGCGCCGCGGGGGCGTTGGTGTAAGGAGGGGGGTTCAGAGCGCCGAAATCCGAGCCGTAGGTGGGCAGAGGGGGGCTGAGAGTGGGCTGGCCCTGCAGCGAGCCCTGCAGCCCCTCGGCGCCCGCCGGGCCCCCCAGCCAGCCCCCGTTGGGGTGCACATCCCACCAGGACGGGGCGGCGGGCCCGGAGCCCCCCGGCAGCCCCCCGCCGATGCCGCCCTTGTACCAGGAGCCGTAGGGGTGCGGCATCTCCAGCGAGGGGTACACCCCCGGCAGGCACTCGCCCGGGGGGTGGCCCTTGGCCGCCACCACCACGGGGGCCCCCAGCACGTCCTGGGCGCCGGACGGGGCTGGGAAGGGGTGGCCGAAGGGGCCGTAGTCGGGGCCGTAGGGGCCGGGAGAGGCCTGGGGGCTGGCGGACGGCGACAGCAGCCCCGGGGCGCTGGGGAAGGCGGCGGCGTAGGAGTCACCCATGGCTGCGGCGGCGATGTCAGCGGGGGCTCGCGGCCATGGCACTCGGCAGCCTGCGGGGAAGGGGGACGGGGTTTGAGGGTCCCGAGGGACACGGGGTGACCCGACCTGGGGATCAGGACACCCAGTAGCCGCCCCAGTCCCAGGGTGCCACCCACTGCCCCCAATGCTCTCCATCCCCTTTGCCTCAGTTTCCCCGTCAGAGCTGAGGCCACTCCATCGCCCCCCCCGCCCCCCCGCCCAGCATCCCCCCACAAAGGGGCTTCTGCGGGGGCTGCTGTGGGGTTGTGTTGGTGGCAGGGCCTCCCCTCACCCCCAGTCTCGGCTCCCTCTCCCTTTATGGCCTTTTAATCGAATTATGCTGTGGCCTCCCCCTCCCCGGGTGACTTCCTCTGCTTTTATACCGTCATGGCTTTCAGCTGCTCGGGCTGGGCCGGGGTGTCGAGAGCTGCCCCTCGTCCCCATCACCCCCGGCGTTCCCTTCATTTTAATTCCTTTTTTAAAAATTCATCTCTTCACCCACTTTGGGGCATTTCCACTTTGTATTTTTTGTTTGTTTGGGGTTTTTTTTAGGGTGTCCCCCCCTCGCCCCCCTTTCTTTTTCTTTCTTTTTTTTTATTTTCCGTGGTTTTTGCGCCTATTTTTACGCCGGCCCCGGCCGTGGCCGCAAGCGCGCTCCCGGTTTTCCAAGGATAACAAGGGCCAGGCCTGTGCCCCGGGAACGCTGCCCTGCCGCGAGAGCCGAGGTAATTAAAACCAGGGCGAGCGGCAAACGGAGGCGCACGCTTAAAATAGTGTCAAACTCCCATAAATCAGCTCCGCTTGCGCCGGGAAATTAAGGAGCAGGGAAGGAGCCCCGGGAGCTGCGGGCTGAGGACGGCGTGAGCTCGCTGCACGAGTGGCCGCTGCCGGGGGTGACAGTCCCTTGGTGGCTCCTGCTGGGTCAGGGATCTTGACCCCTCCCATGTCCCCTCCCGGCGTGGGAGGGGTCCAGCCCCTGCTCTGGGGGTTTTTGGTCCCAAATTCTCGGTCCTGAATTCCCGGTCTCTGGTCACTGACCACCAGTGTCCAGTTCTTGGTCCTCAGTTCCACTTTCCCATTCCCTGTGCCCTGGTCCCCTAAGTCTACGGTTTCTTGGTCACAAAACCCAGTCCCTGGTCCCCGGTCCCTGGCCCCAAGTGTCCCCAAAGCCCTTGCCTCAGTTTCCCCCACCCTGCCAGTGCCACCCCCTGTCCCCTGCACCCGAAGCCACCTGGGCCTGGCTCCTCCTGTGCAGCTGTCCCCAGCCAGAGGGACAGTTCGGGGTGACAGTGGCACTCGGCACCGTGTCCCTGTCCCTGTTCCCCCTCTGGGGATGGCAGGACGCGGTGTCACACACGTGTCCCCTGCACAGGGACCGCGGGGGGATGCTCGGGGCCCGCACAGGTCCCCATCCTTGGGGGGATCCCATATCCCGGGGGTCTCCCCCATCCTGGAGCGAGTCCTTCACCCCGCGCGTCCCAAATCCTGGGGTCCCTGTTTCCAGAGTGGGGATCTCCCCTCCGAAATGTCCCTGTCCCCAGAGCGGGGATTCCCCCGCCCCATGTTCCTCTATCCCGGGGTCGCGGTCCCGGGGCAGTGTCCCCCAGCCCCAAAAGTCCCGGTGCCCGGGCAGTGTCCCCCATCCCGAGGGGTCGCGGTCCCGGGGCAGTGTCCCCCATCCCGAGGGGTCCCGGTCCCGGGGGTCCTTACCGCGCTCCGGGGATGCCCGGGGTGGGTCCTGCCCGCGGGGATGTCGCTGTCGCGGTGTGCCGCTGTCCCGGGATGCCGGTGTCCCGGGATGCCGGGGCTCGGGGCGGAGGGAGGGACGGAGGGAGAGGGAGGGACAGGGAGGGACGGAGCACCGTGGCCACCGCCCGCCCCGCTGTGCCGCTGCGGCGGGGCTGGGCCGGGCCGGGACCGGGGCCGGGAGCGGGAGCCCGGCCCCGAACCGCCCCCAGCCGGGGGGGCCGGGGGACCGCGGGAAGGGGGCAGGGGAAGGGAAAGAGGAAAAGGAAAAGAGGAAGGAAAAGATGAAGGGGGGGGGGGAAGAAAAGGGGGCGAGAAGAGAAAGGGGGGAAAAGAAGGAAAAGGGGAAAAAGAACAAGGAATTGGAAGAGGGAAAGAAGTTGGAGAGAAAAGCAGAGAGAGAAAAGAGATGAGGAATAAAGGAAAAGAGAGGAAAAAGGAAGGGAAAAGTTTAAAAGGAAATGGAAAAGGGGAGGGAAAAGAAAAAATATATAAGGAAATGGAAGAAAAATGAAAGACGGGGAGAAAGAAAAAGTTGTGAAGGGAGGAAGATGAGGAGGCTGAGAGATGGAGGAAGGAGGGGAGATGGGGAAAGGGACCAGTGTAGGGAAAAGGAAAGGAGAAGAGAGAGGAAATAAGGGGAGGGAAAGGAGGGAGAGGGGGAGAAAGAGATGGACAGCTGGGAAGGAGAAGTGGATGAATAGGAAAAGTGATGGAAAGGAGGGAAGGGAAGAAGGAATAGATGGATGGGGAGGGGAAAGGGGACAAAGGAACAAAAGAGGAGGGGACAGCTGGGGCACCCAGAGACTCATCACCCCAGAAGGTGCCAGGATGGGGATGAGGGGCTGGGACAGACAAGGGATGGGCACTGAGCAGGGATGGGGACCAAGGATGCGCTTGAAGGAACCAGGAATGGGAAAGGAGCAGAGATGGGGACAAAACTGGAGAAGGATGGGAATGGGATCAGGTATGGGGACAGGAGGGAACAAGGGATGGGGATGAGAGGAACCTGGGCTGGAGCTTCAGGTACCAGGAATGGGGTCAGAGGTCTGGGGATGGGGATAGGAGTTGGGAACGGAGCAGGGATGGGGCTGGAGGGACCAGGGAAGGGGATCAGGGAGTGGGGACAGGGACATGCCTGGCTCTGGTGATGGCACTGGGGACCCTTCCGTGCCTCAGTTTCCCTCCATGAAGGAATTGTTCCAAGTGCTCTTTTAACTCTCCCTCCCTTTTTTTTTTTTTTTTAATTTTATTTCATTACTGCCCCATCCTTCCCGTTTTCTTTTCGCTTTCCCCCTTCCCTGTTTCCCCCCGCCGGGCCGCTCGGAGCCAGCGGGGCCCTTTCCCAGCCCTGAGTCAGGGCTTTCCGCTCCGCAGCCGCCGGCGCCGCCGAAGGCCACAACCACCGCCCCCCCCTCGCTGGGGCTTCCACTGCCCACAAACTGGGAGCAAACTGGGACGGCCACTGCAGCCCTCCTCCTCCTCCTCCTCCTCCTCCTCCTCAGCCAGCCCGGCGTGGGATGGGAGGGGGGGGGCACTTCATGGATTTTTTTGGAGGGGTTTCACTCCCACCAGCATCGCCCACCAGGGTCCGGTTCATGGGGGGGCTCTGGCGCTGCCCGAAGGGCCGGGGCTGGGCTGGGGGTGCCGGATGGGATGGGGGTCTCTCCGCGGCTCGGGGGCAGTGGGGACCCCCCCGTGTGCCCCGGGACCCTTCAAAGCGCGGCGGCCGCGCGGGGGGGCGGCGGCGGGGGCTGATTACAGGGCGGCGCCGGGCTCGGCCGCCCACGGCCCCGCGGCCGCGCCGGGCCCCCGCAATTACCCGGTATTTATACCCGGCCGGACGCCGGGACCTCGCCAGGCCGGGGGGGGACACGGAGCGGGGGGGCTCCGTCCCCGGGCGGCTGGCCAGCCACCGTCCGTTTGTCCATCCCTCCACCCCATCTCTCCTTCCCTCCTCTGCTTCAGCCGCCCCCATTTTCCTGAGCCTGGCTCAGGAACTGACACGAGTTTGAGGGGGCTCAGCCCCTCTGTCTCAGATCTGGGGGGGATCTCAGCCCCCCTGAGATGAGTTTGAGGGGGTCTCAGCACGACAGAGGTTGCAGGGTTGGAGGTGTCCCTGTCCCCATCCCGGTCCCCAGGGCCAGGGGACGCCCCCCGCCCCAGTGCAGGGGTCCCGGCAGTGTCGTTCGGGGGCGAACGCTCCCCCGGGATTGGGGGAGGAAGCGGAACCAGCCCCGAGTCCCTTCCCTGAGTGTGCGGGGGCACTGGGGACACTGAGAATGCGCACGCACAGCAGCGTCCCCCCCATTCTGCCCCCAGCCCAGGGACAGCGGGGTGACTCCTGCGTCCCCCACTCCTCACCTGGCGCGGTGTCCCCCCGTGTCCCCCCCGGCCCGGCCCGGCCCCGCCCGCCCTCTCCGGCCCCCGGATGTTTCCCTTGCGGTCGGAGGCCCCGAAATAGCGCAGCCCCCGCGCTGGGTGCGCCGGCCACGGCCGCCCACGGGCCCCGCGGGACCGGGGGGGCCGGGCGAGGCCCCGAGGGCTGGGAACGGGGCTGAGCTCCCTCCCCAGCACCACCCACGGGGGCACCCCGGTGACCCCCCCAAGGGAGGGGACAGGGAGCGGGGGGAACATGGAAGGCCAAGAGGAGCCAGGGGACGTGTGGAGATATGGGGGGTACAGGGGTTCATGGGGGCAATTGGGGGTCCCATGGGATCATGAGGCACCCAGCGGGACATCGGGGGATCTGGAGGGACCCAAGGGGCCGTCGGGGATGTGAAGGGACCTGCAGAGACAGGGGGGCACCCGGAACGGGGCTGGGGGGGCTGCGGGGCTCCCACCCACGGGGAAGCCAGAGCAGGGTGGCCCCGGGGCTGAGCTGCGCCCACGGCCCCGGTGTTTCCTCCCATCCTTTAATTATCCCGGAATTATCTCTGGAAATAACTGCGGGGGCCGCGGGGGGGGGGGCAGGGGAACACGGGTCCCGGGCTGGGACGGACCCCGGCAGGGACAGACAGACCCCGGGGGGACAGCGGTGCCGCTGTGGGGACAGGGGAAGCCGTGGGGGGACAGAGGTGACCGCTGGGGATCAGGGATGGCCCCCGGAACCCCAAGGCTGACCCCGCAGCCGCGCGTTCCCCCGTGCCCCCCCCGCCATGTGGCTCCCATTGCGCTGCGGTGCCGAAGCCACATCAGAGCGGTGGCAGCGGCAGCCGCGGGGGCGGCACCGGGGCCCTGACCCCCCTCCGGCTGCTGAAGGACCCCCCCCAAGCTGCCACCGTGCCCCGTGTCCCCTCCAAGCTGCCAAAGACTCCGCCATGCTATTCTGGGCTACCTCACGTGCCACCCCAAGCCCTGCGACCACCTCCAAGCTGTCAGAGACTCCCCCCGCCCCTGGGACACCCCCTCCGCCAATATTCTGGGACCCCCCCGAAACTGCCAGGGACCCTCCCCCCAGGCTTCCATCGACTCCTCCCCAGCCCTGAGCCCCCCGAGTTGCCCGGGGTGTCCCCCCCGGTCCCTCCAAGCCCTGTGACCCCCCCGGTCCCCCCGCCTGTCGCTGTCCCCGGGCCGGGCCGCCCTGGCTCGCGCCGCGCTGCATTTCTGTGGTTCCCAACCCAAAATTGCTGGGAGTCGCCCGGCGTCGCCCTGATTCCTCCGCGGCCGCGACCTGCCCGGGGGAGGGGGACCCGGGGGGACGATCGGGGGGTGGCAGCGGGGGTGGGGCACCCCAGGCTGGCCCAGCTACCCCCCACCCCCCCGGCTCGCCCCAGTGCTCCCAGTTTGCCCCCAGTCCAAGGCTGAGGGTTCCTGTGTCCCCGTCCCGTGTCCCCTGAGCTCACGGGGCCAGCGGGAGGTGGGCACGGGGACATGGATGGGGACAGGACAAGCGTGGGGACAGCAGCAGAGGGAGCGCAGGGACAGGACAGGGTTAGGGACAGGACAGGGGCAGTGTCAGGACACTTTTGGGGACACGGGACAGGACAGCCCTCTGGGGTGAGAACCCCGGGGAAGGGACACGCTTGAGGACAGGGTTGGGGGCATTATTTGGGACAAGACACGGCAACTTTGGGGACACTGTTTGGGACCGGAACAAGTTTGTGGACGCTGCCAGGGACATTCTTGGGGGACAGGCCAGTCCCGGTGACGCTGCCGGTGACTCTGCCGGTGACGGACAGTCCCGGTGACACTGCCGGTGACACTGCCGGTGACACTGCCGGTGACACTGCCGGTGACTGACAGTCCCGGTGACGCTGCCGGTGACGGACAGTCCCGGTGACACTGCCGGTGACTGACAGTCCCGGTGACACTGCCGGTGACACTGCCGGTGACGGACAGTCCCGGTGCCCGGGTCCCGCTGTGGCGCCCCCGCCAGGCGGCAGCAAAGCCTCGAGGCCCGGGGTGGCACGGCCCGGCCGCGACCACCGGGGGGCGCGTGGGGACACTGGGGAGGGGTCCCCGCGGGGGACAGTGAGGGGTTAATTGGGGGTGTTAATTGGGGGAGCCCCGCTGGAAGCTTTGGGGGGCCATGGGCTGCGGATGGGGGTGGAATTTTCAGGGCCCCAGTGGCGGGAGTTACTGGAGGGAGGTCACTGAGACAAGGATCCACTGGGAGTAACGGTGACGGGTTTAAAAAGGGGGGGGGTCTAATGGGGACAGGTCCTGCCGTGCCTGCCTCGACCCCCCAGCCCATCCCAGCCCATCCCAGCCCCCCGTGACAGGATGGGGACAGTCCCGGTGTCCCCCCCGGCACTGGGACAGGGCCTGTTGGGCCCTTTTGCTCCCAGGTGCCACCACTGCAGGTCGAGAAGGGACACCGAGCGACCCCCATGGTCTGGGGGCAGCAGGACAAGGACAGGGCGGGGACAGGGCAGGGACAGGCTGTCCCCAAGCGCCACCGGCTGCGGGGGCGAGGCCGCGGGGCCTTCCCGGGCCGCGGGGCGGGAATTGGGCCGAAAACACCGGGAAATGAGAAGGTCACGGACGGGAGGGGAAGTTTTGATGCTGGAAAGCGGAACCAAAGCCATTCCGTGTCCCTTGTCCCCTTCCCGGTGTGTCGCTGGCCGCGATCCCCTCCCGCCCGCCTCTCCCGCCACCAGACCGCTCGTTTTTCTAGAAAATAAAGGATCTTAGCCACAAACCCTCCCAATCCCGCAACGTCCCAAAACCCCCCAAGCCACGTTCCCAGGGCAAGGGCGGCCCGCGCTCCCCGCTGAGGCGCGCTCTGTGTCGGGACAGGGCTGGGCGATGTCGTGACAGGAGTCTGGGGATGTTCACACAGCGCCGCGGGCCCGTGAGGACGTGTCGCAGCGCCGCGGCGGCTGTCGCGACAGGGCCGAGCCGGCCCGGGGCACGGAGCAGGGACTCAGGGAGGGAAGAACCGCACATGAACCGCGGTACCGAGGGCGGGGGCAGCCTTGGCAGTGCCCAGGGGAACCCGGCCGGGTCTGACAGGACCCGACCCAACATGGCGCCGACTCCGCCATTCGCCGCGCCGTCCCCCCAAGGGCGCAGTCCAGCCGCTGGTCCCGCCTCCCCGCGGCGTCCATTGGCTCGTTTGAGACCGACCGGCGCGCTGATTGGCTCCGAGCCGCGCCGCGGCCGCCGCCTCCGCGCTCGGATTAGTCGGTTGTCCCGTCAACATCCGCGCCTCTCCCGCCCCGCGGCGCGGCCCTCGCGGCCGGTTGGGGCTTCGGGCTGCCAGGCACGGCCGCGCCCCGCCTGCCGCTCCCCATTGGCCGCGCCGCACGCTCATCACGCCGCGGCTCGCGCCGCCGCGGCCGCGCCCATACGGGGTCTCCCTGCGAACCCGCGCGGGCGCTGATTGGCTGTGCCGCCGCCCGCCCCCTCCCCCCGGCGCCCCCATTGGCCGCCGCCCCGCCGCGCTCCCCCTCCCCCACGGGGCGGGGCGGCGGGGGCGGTGCCCTCCCGCCCTCCGCTCCCCCCGCGCCGCGCCGCCCTCGCTTCCCATTGGCCGCGCCGCCCGTCGCTCCGCAGCCCGCGCGGTCCCCATTGGCTGCGGGGGCGGCGGGGGCGGGGCGCGGGGCTGCGGCCGCGGCGCGCGGCCCCTCCCTCGGCAGCCCCTCGGCGGCACCGGCGGGTTCGGCCGCTCGCCCGCCCGCGCCCCCGCCCCGCCCCGCGCGCCCGGCCCGGCCCCGGCACCATGAGCGGTAAGGACGGGGCCGGCGCCGAGTGCCGCGCGGGGCCCCGGGCACACGCAGAGGCGGCGGCGCCCGCCCGCTCGGAGGGGCCAGAGGCGGCCCCGCCCCGCCGGGCCGGGCCCCGCCGGGCCGGGCCTTGCCGCGCCGCGCCGGGGGGACCTGCCGGGGGAGGGACCCGGGGGAGGGGGGAAGGCCTCGGGGGAGGGACCGGCGGCCGCGCCGGGCAGGGCTGTAGCGGAGGAGGGGGCGGCGGAGAGTGATGGGGACGCCCCGGGAATCGGGGCTGGGGGCGGG